GTGGGTGGGGACCTACCAGAGGCAAAGGTGAAGGGAAGGTTGGCGAGCTCCCTGGCGTGGCTCATGTACCCAGCCATGCGCTGGCACCAAAACTGGTGCCCGATGTCCTCGGGGCTGCGGCTCCAGTCCAGCTTCCGGCACCGCTCCGAGCAATAGAAGACGGCGCGGCAGTGCTGGCTGGGGGAGGAAAGGACAGTGGGCAGCAGAGGACATGAGGTTGGCCAAAGGGGCACAGGAGGAGGGCTGGGGGAGGGCAGGGTAGATTTTTCAAAGGGGTTGTGCCAGAGGGCTACCTGATGATAAAATAAATAAAATAAAACCGAGAGTTTCCACAAGATTTTGAGCAGATCTGCAGATGAGCATTTGTCCTGAACGGACCCAGGAAAAGTCTTGGTGATCTGGAAACGGGCCTCCCCTCTCCCGGCTTAGGCAAATGATTGTGACCAGAGGGAGGGTGGCAGAACACACTTGTGCACGGGCAAGGGAATTACATCCATTCTGCGCTCACCATGCTGTGATTTGGCCCTCAAAACTGTGCCGCTTGCACACGTGGCACGCTCGCACCCGTGTGGTCGGGAAGGTGAAGGCTGGCTTTGGGCCCCAGCCCCGCATCGGGCCCTTGCTCATTTTCACGCCTAGGCGAGCGAGCAGTGGCTCCAGTGACCTGCGAGGGGCCAGACCAGGGGAGAGTCAGGGGAGGGGAGAAGGCGCTGGGCCTCCTCTGCCTTGCAGGGCTCCTCCCTCGAGGGCCCCTCCGCCCCTCTCACTTGTGCAACGCAGGGTCTCCCACAGTCAGCAGCTTCGGCCGGCGGGGCTCCCCGGCCCCGAGTGGGCAGAACATGCTATAGCAGAGCAGGGCAATGGCCCGGGGCTCCAGGGGCTCCTGTCCAGCCATCCCCAAGGAGCCCCCCAGCTGGAAGTCAAAGCCCAGAATGGTGCCGTATTCGTCTGTCACCAGCAGGAGGTGCTCAACGCGCCACAGTGGCTGCCCTGCGGGAGCAAAGCACAGAACAAGAGGGGAGCGGGGAGAGGGGCAGATTTGGGCTCAGGATCTGCCCCCCCAGCAGACGCATGCAGACCTCTGGAGAACCCGGCACAACCTGAAGATAGACTTGCCTGGGGGCCAACCCCTGGGCGCGGGTGGGGAGTGTTTGTCTGGGTCTCCAACCCCCTTGTGAGGGGGGCCAGCTGCCCCATTGCTTCTAGAGCACAGCAATGCCAGGACTAGGCAAACCCACCGGAAGGGAGGGGCAATCGATCTCCCATTGCCCACTGCCTCCCATGGGGGGGGTGCGTGGTGGGGGAGAAATCACCGTGAACGTTCCCAAGCAGGCCAGGCTCACCAAGGGGGCAGATCTCTCTTGGGACTCGCCCCCTCTAGCTCCCGGCTCCCCCTGCAAGAGTTTGGCCAGGAGAAGGGAGGCTGGGCCTGGAAAGGAGATCCTCATCTTCAGATCTCACGAGGCCCCGCGTCCCGCTGGTCCCGCGGGTGGGCCTGATGAGGGGAGTTGAGCTGGCCTGCCCACCTTCCTGTTCCCTCCTTGCTGGCCTGGAGAGTGGGGTGCGGGGGTGCATCTGTGTGTGAAGCAGGGTTTCTCAGCCTTGGCATCTTGAAGACCGGTGGACTTCAACCCCCAGAATTCTGCCGGCTGGGGAATTCTGGGGGTTG